ATCATCGCACCACCTACTTCTACCCTAAAGCTGACTGGGATTCCTTTTGTGATTTTCTTCGTGATGGTCCTTGGGCTAATGTTTTTTCTCTCTGCAGCTGACAAATGCGTCTTTTTCGTAACCTCCTGGATTCAGGCTGGAATGGAAGCTTTTATTCCTTCGCGTCGGTTTCAAGTCAAGCCTCACTCTACTCCATGGTTTTCTCCTTCTTGTGCGGCTGCTATATCCAATTGTAATCATTTTTTCATCTTTCTCAAAAGAACAAGTCTCTTGAGAACAAACGGCTATTTATCATTGCAAGAAAATGATGTAAAAAGGTGCTTTCTGATGTTAAACTCCATTACTCTCAGTTCACTAAATCTCGCATCTTATCGGAGAAATTAGGCTCTAAAGACTTTTGGAAAATCTTCAACAGCATTGTTAACAAGGGTAGATTTAACATTCCATCTCTCATTCATGGGACTGATCTTGTTACCTCTCCCAGGGATAAGGCAGAACTGTTTGCAAAGAACTTTTCTTCTAATTCCACTCTTGAATCTTATGGACATTCTCTTCCTTCCATTCCAGTCAAACAGGTTGACCCATTGTTAGACATTCAAATCACTCCGGCTTCTGTTGCTAAAGTCATATCTCAATTAAACTCGTCTACAGCTTGTGGTCCAGACAACATTCCTGTCACAGTCTTGCAGAATTGTTCTCCAGAACTTTCTTCAATTCTCTCTAAACTATTTAACAAGTGTTTGACTGAGTCTTGTTTTCCTGCTTGTTGGAAACGGGCATCTGTGGATGCAATATTCAAAACCTCTGGAGAAAATTCTGACCCCTCCAATTATCGTCCGATCAGTCTTCTTTCTGTTATTAGCAAGGTCTTTGAGTCTTTGATCAACAAATTCCTCACATCTCATCTTGATTCAAATGAACCACTGTCAGACAATCAATACGGTTTTGGATCCTCTCGCTCTACGGCCGACTTGCTAACTGCTGTAACTGAAAGATTTTATTGTGCATTAGATGGAGGCGGTGAGGCTAGGGTTATTGCTCTTGACATATCTAAAGCTTTCGACAAAATTTGGCATGCTGGTCTTCTCCATAAGCTTGCTTCATATGGTGTTTCTGGGAAAGTTTTTGAGATTATCAAATCATTTCTTTCTAACCGGTTTATTAAAGTCATCCTTAAAGGTCATTACTCTTCTTCATTTCCTGTAACTTCTGGGGTTCCCCAAGGTTCTATCCTGGGCCCTGTTTTGTTTCTTATCTTCATAAACAGTTTTCCTGACAACCTTTCATCTAAAGTAGCTCTTTTTGCTGATGACTCAACTTTATACTCCTGTCTAGACAAAAAGTCTTCTCTTTTCGATCGCCTAGAACAAGCAACTGATCTTGAATCCGATCTCACTTCAGTATTAGATTGGGGTTCACAGTGAATTTCAACTCTAAAAAAATCCAGTTGCTTATTGCAAACAACTACCGTAATATGGTCAACATTTCTATATTAATGATTGGCAATCCTCTTACTGAGTTCTCCTCTTTTCATCTTCTTGGATTCCATCGCGTACTACTGACCTTTCATGGAAACCATATATACAATCGATCGCTAAATTAGCTTCTGCTAAAATTGCTTCTCTTTATCGTGCTCGCCATTTCCTTACTTCTGATTCCATTCTCTACCTTTACAAATCTCTTATTTGTCCCTGTATGGAATACTGTTGTCATATTTGGGCTGGTTCTTCTAACGATTCACTTTCTCTTCTTGACAAGGTCCAAAAACGCATTGTAAATGTTGTTGGACCTGGACTATCTGCTAAGCTTGAACCTCTTTCCCATCGTCGTAAAGTTGCATCTCTTTCTCTTTTCTACAAATACTATCATGGTCACTTTTCAAAGGAGTTATCATCTCTAATTCCATCAACTAAAAGTCATTCTCGTTTTACTCGTCATTCAGCTAAGTCTCATTTGTTAAGTGTATCTGTCCCTGCATGCTCTAAAAACTTTTGTTCATCTAGTTTTTTTCCCCACACTTTAATCCTTTGGAACTCTTTCCCATCTTCATGTTTTCCTGACTCATACAACTTTCAACTTTTCAAGTCTTCTGTCAACCGTTTCCCTGCTCTATAACTCTGTTCTTTTTTTTTCTTATTTACTCCCAAATTAATCGTAGTTGATTGCAGCCTTGTTGGGAGTGAATGCAAATAAAAAAAAAAAAGTATTTTGCAAAAAAAAAAAAAAAAATTTGCAAATATATTTTGAATACAAATACAATTATTTTTGTTTTGTAATAGCTTTGTACAAAACTTTCAAAGTTATTACAAAACATAGTTGAACATTTTATAAATTTGTTTCTTTTTACTTTCCTTACATAATAATAATGACATTTTCATTACATACTTGCAGTAAGCAACCAGTAATACGGGGTGTTAGTAAATAAAATTAAAAAAAAAAAAAATGCGTTTAGAAAAGCCTAGAAACTACTTTAAAATAGAAAAACCTAGAAAATGACGTAAGTAGACTATTAGCTACTTTTATTAAATTAGCGTATTAATATTATTAGAATATCATGTAATTAAATTTAACAATATTATGTAATTATGTTGTTGATTGTTTTGTTGTAATAAAACATTTATTGTCATCAATAAAAAAGTAATAAAATGATATTATAATGTCTAATTAACATTACCATGTTAAGTTACATAGCTAAATAAAATTATATTTAGTTTTCTTTTACTTTTACATAACTTTGTAAGTAGTTAATGGAGATTTTACAATAATTAGTAGATAGTTAGGCATTTAAAATATGTCTATTAAACTAATAGCTACTTTTCAAGCAATATGTTCTTTATAAATACATATTGATATGATATTGTTTATGTTCAAGTGTACTTTTCTTGATAGGGACATTAAGATTATTTAAGATTTCTTGTATAAAATGTTTAGACAGAGATTCCTCGTTATATTTTTATATGGATAACAAAATTATTTGCTGCTTTGTAAATAATTATGGAGCTTGTTATAAACAATCATATACTCAAGAAAGAAATCTGATTGAAGATATTGATAGCAATGATTGTAAGCTACTTGAAAAATGAACAAATCTGATACAAGAACAAATTACTAATATATGCACACACCATCATGATATGTTAGTTGTAAGATATGAGGGTAATCAGAAAAGTTGCTGTAGTCCATTTCACCAAAACCGAGTCACCAAAAGGCATGTAGAGGTAAAAATTTATGTATTTATATTTTGATTAGGTAACATTATTATTAATAAGTCATATAAGTTTTTTTTGGTAATAAGATTTGTTCAATGTTTCATAGTTATTAATATAACAAATTGTGTATAAATATAATTACATAATATATATATAATTAATGTTATTTAAGTAATGTAATTACTTTCTTTTTAAGCATCTCTACGTGTGACTACAATGCACACTGTGTTAGAAGCAGAAACCATAGGTTTAAATCTTAAACCTGGAAAAAAATTGTGTCCAACCTGTCAAAGTAAAGTTATGACATGTTTATCAAAAAGTATAAGTGAAAATAAAAATGATGAAGACTTTGATATTGTTAATGAAAAATCGATTCAAAATAAAAAAGAAAGTGTAGATACACATTTTGCATCTGCCAGAGTGTCTCCAATTAAGGTCAAAGGATTGCAAAAGTCAGGTAAAATCAGAGAAGGTAAACGAAAATTGACGGCATTAACAACCTCCATTATGGTATGGTTACCACAATTGTTTTGATTGGCACTGGATATTTTTTTATAAAACATGTTCTTTCAAGTAAAGAAAAGAAACTTTTTGTCATAATTATACCACTGCAGGTTAAATAATCATTTTATTTATTATTAATAAAGTTGTTAGTATCAGTTTAATAACAAGTGTGAGCTCTATGGTTTAAATAAAATATAAACTGAAATTATTAATAATTAAGCATTAATGCTGTTGCGTATAATACTTTATTTTTAACTTTTTCACAATTTAAGTTTGAACAATGGTAGCCGTTCCCCTTAATATATCAGAAGAAAGTTTTAAAGTACAGCCAAGTTTTAATAATGACTGTATGGAAAAAGCAAACTTGTTTGATAACATGATGGCATTATTAACTAACAAAATTGAAAAGTCTACATCAACATCAAAAAAAGTACAACTTGCGACACTTGCTCCAATAGACTTGTCAATAAAAAAGGTATTCGAAACATTGCATGTAATAATCTATGTAGCTCAAACTGCACGTAAGTTAACATTAGAAATAGGTATTTTAAATATGCCTAATCCTAAATTAGGAAAAGCTCTTCCTGATGTAATAGTTCAACTGGTCAAGACCTTTTACGAAGACAATGAACATAGCCGTATAATGCCTTGTAAAATGGACTAAGTAAGCATAAAGAAAAATTTCCACATGCAAAAACGTTTGCTCTTATGAAATTTAAAGGAATTGCTTGTTGCCTTTAAAACCAAGAACACAGAAATAAAAATAGGATTTTCAAGGTTTTGCACTTTTCTACCTAAATGGTGTATTAATGTTGGCGCCTCAGGAACACATATAGCAATAGATCAAGAAAGATCAAGAAAGGAAAATATGAATGAGGTAACAGCATTGTTTCTGGGTGATTTTTCAGAAAACTATAAATTTGTAGTTTAGGATGAAGTGCAAAGCTTTCACTAGACAAATTTACAATGTACACTTCATCAAGTAATTATTTATTTCAAAAAAGAAGGCATTCTCAAGCACAAATCCTATTGTATTATTTCGGATGGTATGATCCATGATGTGAACATGGTTTTTAAAATTATTGAGGTTGTTTCCAAAGATATAAAAACAAATTTGCCTCAAATAAAAAATATTGAATACTTTTCAGATGGGTGTGCAGGTCAATATAAGAATTGCAAAAATATTTTAAATCTTTGTTTCCATTGTGAAGACTTTCGTTTTACTGCTAATTGGAACTTTTTTGCTAGTCACGGTAAGCAACTTTGTGATGGGATAGGTGGTACAGTCAAACGTATGGCAACCCTAGCAAGTTTGCAAAGGGATATGGGTAATCATATTTTATCTCCACTAGCAATGTATAAATATTGCAATGAAAACATTAAAGGCATAAATATCATTTATATTTCATCAGAAGATTTAACTTTGGGGAGAACCGCCCTTAAAGAACGATTGGATACTGCTAATACAATAATTGGAACACGTAGTTACCATCAGTTTGTACCACTTGGCCATCAAAAGGTAAATCATTATTTTTTAATTATAAATTTTACCATATTTTAAAATACACGCATAACTTTAATTGATAAACTCAAATAGATATTAGATTTTTGCAGAAACATTATCAAAAATTTTTGTATTTAATTTTATTTCCTCTGCATTTGCTATCTATTCATTTAATAAAACATGTTTGATAAGTAAAACGAAATAATTGCATATGTTACTATTTTGTTTAGGTAGGCACTAAGCTATGCAGTGTTGATGAAGAAATTGCTTTAATTCATGACTTTGGAAATATCCAGATAACAAACTGTAAACCTAGTACCTGGTGATTATGCCTGTGTTAACTATGAGCAAAAGTGGTGGATAGGAGTAATTGAAGATATTAATTTAGAAGAAAAAGATGTGTTGTAAAATTTATGTGTCCTAATGGTCCTGCACGGTCGTTTAAATGGCCATTAAAGGAAAGTCAATGCTGGATTCCTGATGTCAACATTATTTGCAAAATTGAGGTACCGATAACAAAAACAGGACTTTGCTACTATTTAGCCAAAGAGGACCTAAAAAAAATTATTTTCCTAAGGAAGTAGAGATTTTTATATTTATGAGTCTATTATATCTTATCCATTCTTTTTAAAATATTATGTTTTGTGAACCAACTTGTAAATAATGTGAATGTATAGCATATATATAATATCAGTAAAGTTTAGTATTTAAAAAAAAAATTATATACGTTTAAATTTTGTTGTAAGTAATATGTGAAAATGAAAAAGATAATAAAGTCACTAACTTTTAATTTCTAATTTAATTGATTGGTAAAAGGTGGGGTTATATTGAATGTCTAATTAAAAAAATATTAAAAAATTTTGTGTCTATATCAAACATCAATAATTCCTCAAGTAAATATAAGGCCAAAACGAAATTGGTTCGAAAAGTAGGTGTTGATCTTATTTTTATGAAAATCGAAATTAAATTTTTTTATATCAGTCAGATTTTTTTTATAGCTAAAATTGTCAATGCCCGTTTTTCTCGGCGTTATAAAGTGTATTTTATGGATCTTAAAAAAAGCTTCATTCCCTTGTTTTGACATATAAAAAACTATATTTTTCGGATTTTGCAGGTTTTAAACTCTTTTGGTACAAAATTTCAGAATTGTGGCATCACTACAAGCACCATATTAAGGTGAAAGAAAACGGAATGATTTACGGCACTTTTTCCCCCTCAGTTTTTATTCAAAATCAAGGAAACTTCAAATTGCTGGAAATTATAAACGGTAAGGAATTTTATGAAAAAAAAATTACAATTTTTCCTAACATTTGTCTACAAATATAAGTTTCAAAAATTTTGGTGATATAGGGTGCAGATTTGTGATTTTTTGTGTTTTTTGAGAAATTTTTACCCTAAATACACATCGACTGTTTTAATACACTTTGTAACAAGATTTTTGTACAAGTTATAGAAAATAGATTTCATATATTAAAACCTATTTCATTTTCAGTGCAAAATGTGCATAAAGAAAATGCAAAAACTGGCATAAGGGCAACTATTCATAAATGTGAATTTTACAAAAAAAAAATGTGCATACAACGACCGAGTAGTAAAATAAATAGTAAAATAATAGAGAAAAAAAAATAATAATAAAAATAGAAAAGCACGCTTTAAGGCTAGTGTTCAACAAAAACAAACTTACTCATGCTCAACCCCTACTAGAGCAAATGAACGCTTTAAATATTTTTCAAATTAATATTTATCAAAATATACTTTTCATGTTTAAATATAAACTAAGTCTGGTTCCAGAACATTTTACAGCCCACTTTTTGAAAACAACGTAAACAAATACAATACAAGAGCAACGAGAAACTTTAAGAACCCTTCGAAAAAATTAAACTCTCAAAGTTTTCAATAAAACATCGTGGTCCCTATTTATTTAACAAAATAGTTTCTAGAAACAAATCGCTAATAAATTTAAACAACGAACAATCCCTAAAAACAAAGTTAAAATCTACAACAATCAAGTTAAACAACTACAAGAAGTTTTTTTAAACTCCAATTTAAAATTTAAAAATTAAAAATAATATAAAACAACCCTGAAAATACAAAAAATGTAACTTTTCAAAGGAATCAATGAAAATAATACTAAAAGGAGATAGGAACATTAATAATTTTAAGGCATATATGTATCACATACATATTTGCCACGTATGCTACTGATTTTTATGTGTATTACACGTCTAGAAAATACTCGATGACAAGACTGACCCCAGTCTTCTGCGAGCTTCCTATAACTAAAAACAATTAATCATTTTTTTGAATCTTATACAAACCTTGTTTTTAATATACTTTTATATATATATATATATATATGTATATATATATATATATATATATATATATATATATATATATATATATATATATATATATATATATATATATATATATATATATATATATATATATATATATATATATATATATATATATATTTATGTATATATATATATATATATATATATATATATATATATATATATATATATATATATATATATATATATATATATATATATATATATATATATATATATATATTATTCTGATTGAAAGAATATAGAAGGTTTATTTCTTGGGTAATTTTTACGTTCACGTTATTCTATTGGGTACTTTGTATTTATTTTTATCATGCCTCAAAGTTGAATTTAACAATATTTTAGATTTATCCCTTATTTACTTTGGACTTTATGTTTACGATATTTATATTCGTATATCTTTATGCGCCAATCGATGATTGGTCAATTGTAAATACTTTGTACTTGTGAAATAAACATGTTAAAAAAAAAAAAAAAAAGGTAAAGTACATACAATGACTGATATGTATATAGACATACTCTCATCAAAATTTACATATATACATGCTTTAGATTTTAGTTGGGAAATATAAGAAAATTAAAACTTTGCATTAATTTTCTAATATTTATTTATTAAAACTAAGTTGAAACTGTTTGGCTCACATGCCAGAGAAAACTTACACACTTATACTTCACACTTATGGAGGTTCACAGTTATAAAATTTTTTTTAGGCAATTATAAATTTAACTTAGTTTTAACCCTTACGCAGTTTTTCCAGTGTCTCCTTGTCTAAATAAAAAAAAAATGCGTATATATATTAATGTATATTTTAGTATGTCTTTATAAATACTTATGAAACCAATCAAAATGCACCTTTCAAAAACTCTTCATCCGAGCAACCATTAAAGTATAATATTATTTAGAATATCATAAGGAAGTTTTAAAAATAGGTAATTTTATATTTAAATTAAGTAAGTAAATAGATTATAATAAAAGTGAAGTCAAATCATCTAAGGATATTAACAGGATAAAACATAAACAAGTAAAACAAACAACGGAAAAAACTTAGAATAAACGGACTAAATTAACAATTCTCAATAATTACATAATCTATATAATCGGTTTCTGGAATATAATAAAATCACAAATTAAAATCTACGTGATAATGAAAGCTGATATTTTATTTTATCATTCATTTTTATTATTACTAAAAAACAAAAAAATTTGAGAACAAATATTTTATTAATTTATTTTTCATAACATAAACACTTTTCATAACATAAACACACGGCAATACTAGCTTCAAATATAGCTACTTTAATAAAGAAGAACACATGTGTACGAAAAGAACATATGTATATTGTTGTTTATATTAAGTATGTATTCTAGTATATACATATTATATTCTAGTAAGAATACCAACAAAAAATAAAGATAAGGGTCGTCTATAAAGGACTTCCCCCTTGTCACCGATTGTCCTTTTCCCCTATACCACCCTTGAAAGGATGTTATAAAATTGGGACTACTTTACTTGACAAAAAATAAAATTTTTTTTTGATCTCATTTCTTATTTTATAAACTTCTTTTTGACAATCGGTCAAAAAGAATTTCATGAAAAAAGTGTTTTTTTACTCAGATAGCCATTATTAAAAGAAGAAGTAAATTTAGATTTAAAATTAAAAGCAGAAGTAAATTTAGATTTAAAATTAAAAGAAGAAGTAAATTTAGGATAATTTTAAAAATTGCAACAGACAATAACAAGGTTTGACAATTTCTGCCACAATTTTAAAATATAAAAAAAAATATTCTTAAACAGTAAATTCATAAAAAGAATTGTTTACATAGTTTCCCATGTAAATCAAGTTAAAACAAAAAATTTTAAAAATCTATAAAGTGACGTTATTTTCTTACAACCCCCTCTTTCCTCTTTTAAAAAGCTTCTTTTTAGTTTGTTTGTTTTTTTTTATTTAAATTAAATAATTGTCTATTTAAATTGATATTTTACAAGCATTAGTTTAATCCTCCGCTGAACGCAGTCTTTTTTTAACTTGAGAAGGCATGATGTATTAAACTGATACAATACGTCTGAAACTGTTTTAATAAGAAAATAACAATGACAAAAAAATTCAAAAATTTAGCTATAAGCAATTAGAACCATTTAAAAAAGTTATATTTATTAAATATGTCATTTAAGTAAAAAAACTAACATGTAAAGGCCTAGTTTCAATTTACACAAAATGATAAAAAAATGCCATTCAAAAAGGAGTTATTTAATTGTGCTTTTTGAGGTAGAACTAAAGAGAAAAGAAAAAAACAGGATACTGAAAAATTGAACACTAAATCATTACTACAAAACTCAAACACGATAATAATGATTGGTTTGTATTAACTAAAACAACCACGACCGCCGAAGTGTTAAATAATAATATCTTGGCTTTTTATAAATGATTAAATTACTAAGTTTCATTATTAATGAAACTATATAATAATAATTTTTAACAATAGACACCACGTGAAGGTAAGCCAGAGCCTTCTATTTAAAAAAGTGCAAGTCAACGCTTGCTTTTGCTAACTAATTTACATGCCACAAATGGAAACGAAGCCATGCTTACAACCTAAAAAGTAAAAAAAGAATATGCACTAGTGTTATTTGTATTGTTAGCAACACCATTATACTTATTAGCAATTATGTATATTGAGCATTCACTGATTTAATATAGTTATTTAATCTAATTTAAGCTATATCTCATAAATCTAGTAAAGATGTATAAGATAACCCTTAAAGCTTATACCATACTCACTAATGGCTAGTTATAATGCCATTATAACCAAGATATAAACAAATTATGTCAACATTCCATGACACGTAAAATTTTGAAAAAATGTACCTAGATTTAAAGGTGGAGATACATCTGCAATTAGCAATTATAGACCAATCTCAATTCTTCCTATATTTTTTAAACTCCTTGAAAAAATAATTTACAACAGACTGTATAAATATTTAATACACAAAATCTTT